CTCCAACTGGCCTGGAACTCACTATGTAGACCAGGCTGGCCTTGAACTCATAAGAGATCTGCCTTCCTCTGCCTCCCAAGTGCTGGGACTAAAGGTGTATGCCATGACACCCGGCTTTATATGTTCTCTTTTTTCTCATAGTTACAGTTTCCATTTAATTCTTAAAACATTAAATATAATTACTTTATATTTTCTGTGTGATAATTCCAGTCTAGCAATTTTGTTTGTTGTGTGTGGTGTTTTGTTTTGTTTTGTTTTGTTTTGTTTCGTTTGAGACAGGATCTCACTATGTAGCCCAGACAGGAACTCACAAATATAGACCAGGCTGGCCTCAAACTCACAGAGATCCTCCTGTCTCTGCCTCCCAAGTGCTGGGATTAAAGGTGTGCACCACCATGCTCAGCCTCCTTGTGTGTGTGTTCTTAAAATGTATGTGTATTTGTGTGTATCTTGTGTGTGACTTTGTGCACATTAGTGCAGTGCCCAAAGAGGCCAGAAGAGAGTGGCAGATTCCCTGGAGCTGGAGTTACAGGTGGTTGTGAGCCATCCCATGTGGGTGCTGGGAACCAAACTCAGGTCCTTTGGAAGAGCAGTGCAATCTCTTAACTATCAGTCTCCAGCACATAATTCATGTTTTATTAAGTTTATTTTAAATTTTATTTTTATTTTATGTGTCTGTTTTGCCTGCATGTATGTAATTGTACCACATGTTTACAATGTCTGTGAAGGCCAGAAAAGGGCACTGGATTCCATGGAACTAGAGTTAGGGGACAGTTGTTAGTCACTATGTGGGTGCTGGAAACTGAACCCAGGTCCTCTGTAAGAACAGCTTAGTTTTACCTGCTATTGTTTGGCAATTGCTTACAGTGTCTTGTTTCCATATATATTTTTTAAAGATTCTTTTTAGTTAGTTACTTAGTTATTGGGGGGAGGCTTGCATGTTTTTCTCCTGTGTGTTTTTATTGTGTTTTGTTTTGTTTTGTTTTGTTTTGAGACAGGGTCTCCCTGTAGCCCCAGCTGACCTGGAACTTACTATTTAGACCAGGTTAGCCTTGGTCTCACAGAGGCCTGCCCCTGCCTTCCCAGTACTGGGATTAAAGGTGTGTACCATGCCTGGCTAGTTATTTTGGTTTTTTTGAGACAGAGTCTCATTAGGTAGCTCTGGCTGGTCTGGAGCTCACTATTTTAGACCAGGCTGGCCTAACACACAGAGATTTACCTGCCTCTGCCTCTGCCTCTAGAGTGCTGGGATTAAAGGCATGTGCCACAATGCCTGGCTATTTATTTTATTTTAATTGTGTGTGTGTGTGTGTGTGTGTGTGTGTGTGTGTGTGTGTGTGTGTGACTACAGTGCCTATGGAGGTCAGAAGAGGGTGCTGAACTTCCTTAGAGCTGGAGTTACAGATGATTGTGAGCCACCAGATGTAGGTGCTAGGAACTGAGTATTCTTAACTGCTGAGCCATATTTCCAGTCCTTCCTTATATATTTATGACATTTTGGCTATGAGTTTCTCTTTCCTTCTTTCCTTATTCTTTCTTTCCTACCCCCTTCTTCCTCTCTTCCCCCCACTTTTTATTGGGAATCAAATCCAGGGCTTTATACACTCTAGCCACACACTCTAGCACTGATCTACATCTTCAATCTGAGTTCATGTTTCTTGAAACTTTATCAATGGAAATTCTTTGAGGCCTGGATTGGAGATGAATTCCTCCAAAGAAGATAAGTATCCCTGGTCAACTGGGGACACTATTGACCAGGTACCACTTAAAAGTCCACATGAAGGAAGCATGTTGCAAATTTTCTGAGATTTTTTTTCCTACCATTTACCTAGCACCAAGGTCAAGATATGCAAGACTTTTTGCTGTTCTTTATGAAAACTTTTGTTCACTCTTGAATTGAGAGTATAGTTATTTAGAATCCTAATTTTGTGTAAGGCATTTTCTTACACAAAATTAGTCTGTTCATATGAGGTAAGACAAGATTTATCTCTGGTTTCTTCCACTTCACTTAGTACTCAAACTGATAGCTCAGATTCATATAAGTTGGGTTTGACAGACACTCTTGAGGCAAAAGTTGATGTCAAGTTCAACCTCTGCCCCTGCCCAGATTACAAGTTTCACTGTGTTTTTGCACAATGAGAATTTCTTGCTCAGTGCTTTTTTTCCAAAAATATTTTATTGAACTTTTATGCATTTCATACAATACATCTTAATCATATTTAGATCTCCTTGCCTATCTAGCATCATTCCCTTAAAGAAGACCAACTCTCTGTCATCCAGTAGTGATTAACTACCAATAGTTCTTCAGCTAAGGTTGGGGCTTCTCGCTCAGTGTTTTTTTTTAATGATTTATTTATTTTTATTTGTACAAGTAATCAACTAGTATGTGTGAAGTGCTAGTGAAGTCAGAAGAGGACAACAGAGCAAGCATGTGGGTGCTGGGAACTGAACCTGGGTCCTCTGGAAGAACAGCAAGTGCTCTTAACTACTGAGCCATCTCTCTAGCCCCCAACTCAGTGCTTTTAAAAATATACTTTCTAGCCGGGCATGGTGGTGCATGCCTGTAGTCCCAGAACTTGGGAGGCAGAGGCAGGCGGATCTCTGTGAATTCAAGGCCAGCCTGGTCTACATAGTGAGTTCCAGGACAGCTAGGGCTACAGGAAGACTCTGCTTCAAAAAAGACAAAATATATATATACGTTCTATTTTTATCCATCTCTGTGGTTACTTTTCTTGGGATACTTATTATGATACTCCCAGAGGTAGAGGTCCAGCCCACATTGTCACTGGGTTGTGGCCCTCTGAGGGTTCCATGTTGATATAAAGAGCTCAGTTTCTGTTGCCTGTCTTGAATGAGCCCAAGACCCTGTCTTCTCTCCTCATCACAACAATTAGAACCCAAGACTCTAGTCCCAACTGATGTTGGCAAATACTTTTCAGGCAGTGGTGATATCAACATCCTTTTGGCCACTGTATCTTATAGAGATAACTCCATGTACTCAACTACAGCAATTGGGGCCAATCATATGCCTAAACAAATGAAGACATGTTGGTGGTGGGGTAGAGGCTGGAAAGATAGATGGTATTGTTGGTAAAGCAAAGCATGAGGACCTGAGTTCAATCCCCAGCACCCATATTAAAAAGCCAGTCGCAGGGCAAGGAATATGGTTCAGCTGGTAAAGTGCCTGCCGCATAAGCATGAGGACCTGAGTTCAGATCCCCAGCACTCATGTAAAAAGCCAGGCACAGTAGTATATGCCTGTAATTCCAGTGCTGTGGGGGTAAAGGTGGGCACAGACTTGAAGCTCATTGGCCAGCCAGTTTAGCTGAATTGGTGAGCTTCAGATTCATTGAGAAACCCTACCTTAATAAATAAAGGTGGTGAGGACAGCAAGATGGCTTGGTGGTTAAAGGCACTTACTGTGCAAACCTGATGACCCGACTTTGATCCCTAGAAGCCTATGTAATGGTGGACTCCATAAAGTTGTCTTCTGACCTCCACCTGCACATCATGGCATACACACTCCCTATATCATGTTCACACACACACACACACACACACACACACACACACACTCCCTATATCATGTTCACACACACACACACGCACACACACACACATACACAAATAATACTTTTTTATATAAATTAAGTAAAGGTGGAGAGTGATCAAGACAGTGATCAAAGAAAGACACTGGACAATGTCTGACCTATACTAATACATACAAAAGCCAGTGCAGTAGTGTGTACCCATAATCTTGGAGTTGGGGAGGTGGAGACATCAAGACCCCTGGGGCTTGCTGGATAGCCAGTCCATCTGAACGGATGGGCTCCAGGTTCAGTGAGAGATCTGTCTCAAAAAATAAGGTAGAGAGTGATTGAGGAAGACAGCCAATGTTGACCTCTGGCCACCACATGCATGCACAACAAACACATATACACACAAAAGAGAAATGAACGCAGAATCTATTATTTCAGTAGCTTTGTCTTAAGGACTTTCACTCTTTGCTGCTTCTTGCTCCAAGGAGCTCAGAAAGGCAGGATCCAGATGCTCACCTGTTCTTAGGAAATTGATGTCCACCCTCACGGTGGTTTTGGACCTTATTGAGATCATGGAACTCTTGGAGAATCTGCTGAAAGCTATGAAACTTCCACTAGCAAAATACAGTGCCAGCCTGAGTTTAAGCTTCCATGGCAGAGGGGTCCTGATCTTCTGCTTAGACCATCAAGCATCTGTGCCGACATGGGTTTCGGGGGCAAGGTCTCAGCTTTGGTGGGTTTCTACTTCCTTGGACACTCACATTATGAGACTAACCATACACTAGCCCAGTACATATACCTGGGACTAACCAGAAAGCTTTATACTCTTTTTTTCAATTGAGCCATTTTATATTCGACTGCTTCCATATGAAATAATATGAAATCAAGTCTGCAGTAATGTAGAAACAGCCCAGGCTGGCTTTGAACTCCCAGTTCTCCTGCCTCAATCTCCTGTGTGCTGGAGTTATAAGTATGCACCACCACACCAGGCTTCAGTGGGCTTTTCATAAATATAGGCTAACAATCCATCTCCTTCTTTACATCTCCTGCCTCTGTGTTTGTCTTGGTTTTTGGTGACTCCTTGCGTTTCTAATATGTCTTTGTCCCATCTGTAAACTGAGTGGCCTGCACTAAAGCAGGCATGTTTAAGCAGCACTATTCTGATCATCAAGGAGGCTGCCATGGACAAGGACCCCTGGAGAGGAGGAACCTGCATGCCCAGCACTGCTTCCTTCAGTGCATCTCTGTATCTATGTACTGTATATACTGGAGCTAGAGCTGGATTTATTTTAAAGCTCCATGGAAGGCTGCTGATATGTATCCATCATCCTCCCTGAGCAAGAGTCCCTTCCCCTGGGCCACAGGTGGAAGCAAGGAGGGAAGTCATTTCTCTCTGACCCAACTGACCCCTAACACTGTGGCAGGCACCCTTCCCCTCTGATTCTCTGATTCTGTGCCTAGTTCCAGTTTCCTTAAGGATGTTATGGTGGCTGCTGCTGCTCCCCCTGGGTCAAGCTGCCCCTAAGGATGGAGCTGCAAGGTAAGAGGATAAGGAGAGCAGAGCCCTGGGCTGGGGCAGGGAACCGTCTCTGGAAAGTCTGAAGATGTGGTGGGATCCTCCAGGGAGCTAGGAGCCTGATAGAGTGTAACCTCCTTTATTTCTGTATTTACCACCCCAACCTCTTGCCTTGTGCTTATCAGAATGTCACAAAGTGGGCATTTAGTGCATTCCTGTTGGACCCCTTTGCAACCAAGAGCTCAGCTCTGGTGCAGTGTAAAACATCGGGAAGATGCTAAAGGCCAGGAAAGGGGCTGTAGTCTTCCAATCAACACCTAACACGGGGAATACCAAAGAAGTAGGGATCATTATTTTAGTGTTTCTGACTAGCTATAATTGCTTTCTAGAGGTCTTATATTCATTCTGTGCAGTACACACCATGGGTGTGAGGGGAGGCAAACACTGGAACAGCTGGAGGTCTAAGAACAGTGACAAAGTGGCTACAAAAACTGCCAGTTCTGCCATCCCAGACTGATGTAGGCCACCAATAGCCCCATGCAGAAGCAAGAATACATTTTGAGCTTCAAAGACTAACAGAGACCCTGAACGTATGAAACTCCAAACTGCCCTCTGCTTAAAAAAGGAAGAGGCAACAGTGTCATGGAGTGAACTGTACCTGTAGAAACCCAGGCATTGCTACCAGCCTTAGCCCAAGAACTGCCTCTTGGATCCTGGCATTGAAGTGGGAGGACTGCCATGAGCCACCATGTCCTACCACTCCCTGGGATGTCTCTTGGGCCTCTACTGTGTGTCCACTTTGGTAGCCTCAACCTCACCAGGCATTTTCTTTGGGTTTTTTAAGGTTAATTAAGACAGCTGCAAAACAGTCTTAAGGAGTAAGTCTATTTCTAGTGATACCTGAAGAGTATTTTCCCTGAAAGTTTACCTTTTTGGAATCTGGGGGAGCAACTGCTTTTGGATATGGGGAGAAATCTGCCAGGTGGCTGCTAGGCCTCAACTGGTGCTTCCCTCTCCACTCTAGGCTGGACCCTGAGGTACAGATCCTGTCCAACCCTTTCCAACCAGGCCCAGAGCAGCTCCTGTGAGTAAGCTGGGCTAGGGGCTGGAGGGCTTTGGTAGTCAATAGGTCATGGTCTGGGGCCAGACTAGACTGTCCTGGCTCATTTGCCACTTTTCTGATAGAATTCTACAGAATTACCTCAAGGGACTAGAGAGGATGGAAGAAGAGCCAGAGCACATGAATCGGGAGCAAGGTAAGGGGTTAGGTTGCTGGCCTGGGTACTGGGAGGCTCCCAGGATGAGGGCAGGGGGCTGGGCTGGTGGGCTGAGGGCTTAGAGGTAGCAGAGCTGAGGCTGAGTGCTGACTGCCCTGTGGGTTCTTGTCTTCTACTTTAACACAATTTCTCTTGCCTAGTCCTCCTATACCTCTTTGCCCTCCATGACTATGACCAGAGTGGACAGTTGGATGGCCTGGAGCTGTTGTCTATGCTGACAGCAGCACTGGCTCCTGGAGCTGCACACTTTCCCATCAACCCGGTAAGCTCTGCTGGAAACTATGAGACTAGCTCCTTGGAGCTTCGGTCTTTTTTATCATGACTTTTAGTGGACCCCCTGTAAAAATGGAGTTCAGAGCCTTAATGGCAGGCATGGGACTGTTGGGGAGGGCCAGGGCTCCTGGAAACATCTACAGTGCCTCTACTTCTACAGGTGATCCTGGTAGTAGACAAGGTACTTGAGACCCAGGACCTGGATGGAGATGGGCTCATGACTCCTGCAGAACTCATCAACTTCCCAGGAGAGGCCCCCAGGCACGCACAGCCCCTTGCTCCAGTTCTCCAGGAGTCACAACCTGCTGGGAGTCAGCCCCTGTTAGCCAAAAGTCCATCACAACCAGAAACCCAGCAAGCCCTGAGGCCTGGAGAAGCCAGGGGCCAGGTAGAGGCCAGAAGGGAGTCCTTGGAGCCTGTACAGGAGGTTGGACATCAAACAGGGGCTGAAGGAGACACCCTCAGTCTGGGAGGGGAGTCTAGGGGACAAGTAGAGGCTGAAGATGTCCCAGGTCCCAGAGAGAATGCTGGCGGACAGGCAGAGGGCAGAGCAAATGAAGGGGAAGCCAAAGAGATGCCAGGGGATGCACTAGAGACTATGGACATTCCAAATGAGATTGAGGCTCATAGTATTCAGTTGGAGAACGATGAGATATAAACTTGGAGGATATAGGCTCATCCCCCTCAAAATCTCAGTGACAGACCAAGAAGCCTGAAGGATGGGGTGTGTGTGTTGTGACAAGAATCACCTCTGCCATCGGTGTGATGGCATGTGTCAGTAATCCCAAAATTTGGAAGTTTGTGTCAGGAGGACCGAGTTCCAGGCCAGCCTGGGCTACACTGCAAGTTTGAGACCAGGCTGGGCTATTTAGTGAGACCCTGTCTGAAAACAAACAAACAAAAAACTACCTATATTCTACTCCTTTCTGGCTCCATGGGAAGCAGGTCTTTCCATGCAGCTCAGGAAGACTCTAAATTGAGGGGCAGCTTTTAGGGTCAAACAACCATTAAAGAACAGAATGAATTCATCCCTACCCAGATCCCTCCCCTCAGGACACGGGGTTGAGGATTGAATAAGCCTCTTGAATGCATGGAGATTTAGCTTTCCCAGGGTTCCTGGCCAGGAGTGTGGAGACAGCAGAATCTGAAACACTAGCCACACCCAGCTGCAGACAACCCCAAGAAGAAAGCTCAGTCTATCCCCATGCACAAAAGCTCCTATTCTCTCTCTACCTGGTATTCCCCCTTGTACCCTCCTGCAGGTCAAGGCAAATAGATGGTCCCCATTACCCTGTATTGCTCCCTACCCCTGGTAATGGTATTAATAATAACCTTTTTTTGAGCCTAGTATCCGTCAGGCACCATGCGGGCATTTTATATAATTTTTATCCTTGTAATAATTCTATAATCAGGCAAAATCAGCTCTATTGACAGATGGGTAAATTGCAGAAGATTAAACAATGTACTTTAAGGTGACACCCATCTAATTAAATGACTGATTTGAACTCAGGTCTGTCTGACCTTAAAACCCATGCTCTTAGTCAGGCACAGGTCCATGCCCCAATTCTCAGATTGGAATTGGCTCCTAATTCCAGTATGTCACCTGAATCTGATCTCCCCAAGGGACAGCAGCACTTTGTATCAGGTAGGCTCTGGGAGTGGGGCTTTTAGGTTCCTAGGCAGCCCATGGGAAAAGGTGGTTTTGAACAGCAAGGCCCCGTGGACCCAGAAAGCAGGTTCCCTGCCCACCATCTTTTGGACTCAATCACATGGACTGAGCTTTGTGCAGTCTGCACAGCTCAGGGGCCTAGAAGACCTACTCTATTTCCACACTGGCTAGTGGGGTGCTAACTGTCCTTCCTGGCCAAGACTGCTCACACTCTCTACCTTTCCAGCAACTCCCTTGGCTGCTCTCACCAAGGAAAACTCAGCCTCCCACACACCGAGCTGGGGAGGCCGGGGTGCGGGGGTGGGGCACGACACACACGACACTCCTGCTCCTGCAACCTAGGCAGCCTCTCCCCTGAGTCTGGATGGGGAGGCTAATTTGGAAAATGGGAGGAAGAGGACACAAGATGGAGGATTTTAGTGTCAAACCAATCAGGAAATCTCAGACAGAATTGGTTGAACATCAAGGACAAATAGCTGGAGAAGGAAAGAAGCTGGAGAGAGGGCTCAGTGTTTAAGAGCACTGGCTGTTCCTGAAGAGGACCTGGGTTCCATTCCCAGCACCCACATGGGGCAGCTAACAACTGTCTGTAATTCCAGTTCAAGGATCCAACGCCCTCTTTCAGTCTCCACAGGCACCCCATACACCTGGTGCACTTAATATACACACAGGTGAGCCTTAGTCCCAGCACTGGAGAGGCAGAGGCAGGCAGATCTCTGTGAGTTCAAGGCCAGCCTGGTCTACATAGTGAGTTCCAGGACAACTGGGACTACAGGGAGACTCTGTCTCAAAAGGACCACAAAAAAAAAAAAAAAAAAAAAGAATATATGGGGCTGGAGAGATGGCTCAGCGGTTAAGAACACTGACCTTGCAGAAGATCCGGGTTCGAATCCCAGCACCCACATGGCAGCTAGCAGCTGTCTGTAACTCCAGTTCCAGGGGATCCAACAGCCTTCTTCTGTCCTCCTTGGGTATTGCACGAAATGGGTGCACTTACCTACATGCAGGTAATACACAAAATTTAAAAAATAATAAATTTTTTAAGAAGCATATATATATAAGCAAAATACTCATGCACATAAATTTTTTTAAAAATCAAAAAATTTTTTAATTAAAAAAAATACAGGGGCTGGAGAGATGGCTCAGGGTTAAGAGCACCAACTGCTCTTGCAGAGGTCCCAGGTTCAATTCCCAGCACCCACATGGTGGCTAACAGCCGCTAGTTCCAGGGGATCTGAAGCCCTCTTCTGACCTCTGCAGGCACTGCAAGCTACCTATTGCAAGCAATACACTCATATACATTAAATAAAAATAATAAATAAAAATTTTTTCCTTGATTTTTTTTATTTGTGAGAAACATTAAATATTAGTTTTTTTTTCTTTCAAACCCTGTAAAACTTAGGTTTATGTCAAGGAATTCTCATCTTTTAAAAAAAATAATTTATTGAGAATTTTATACATGCATATAAGGTGTTTTTATCAAATCCATGCCCACTTCCTCCCCTCCAACTCCTCCCATATCCTCCGGTAACCCTAATATTGTTTAAGGATTAGATACAAGCTCCCAAATACTTTTGACATTTTTGGCCTTTGGAACAGAGTATGTTGCTAAGAGGCCCAAGGACATTGTGACTTTTAGCCAAGAAACTGGCTACTTTTCTTTGGGGTATTTTTACCCTAACTGCCTAGCCAATTCCTACCTCCTATACTTATCACACCATCTTCTGAAGAGGTTACCCAACTTGTGAATAGGGAATTGGGACACAGACCACTCTAGCTTCTTCCATGCTAAACAGGGACGCAGGGTGAGGCAATTGGGGTACCCCTTCATTGGTCTATCTAAAAGACTCCCAAATTGCATAGCTCATCATGTGGAGGCAGGATCTGGGTGCTCTCAGGCAGTCCCCAGCGTTCTCAGCCCCTGTGCCAGAGGGAGGCCAGAACCCGGCACTTTGGCAGTGTGCTGAGATCACAGCCACTACACTGATGGAGGTCAGAGATCACCCTCTCAGGCTCAAATAAAATATTTTTTAAAAAGACAGATGGGGGGGCTGGAGAGATGGCTCAGTGGTTAAGAGCACTGACTAC